AAATTGTACCCAATAACGAATAAAACAAACAATATAATACGGCCAGCACTAAAATATTTTAGAAACTGTATTAGGTTATGGGCCACTCCGCCGTTTATGAATTGTATATCAGTACATCGGTATAACAGAGGTGTTGTTTTCACTGTTTCCATTCTGGTATGTTTACTGTAGGTTGTTACTTGTTCATCAATAAGATATTAAGATAGTATAGGTTTGTGCCAAGGGTTTCCAAGTATATCAACACCAGCGACCTATTTAATGGGTCGTTTACGGCCTTAGCGTTTCTTAGCAATGTGCCATAGACACATCCAGTCGAACGTCATTATCTCGAAGTTGGCCTGGTCCATGGGAAAATTTCGAGTTGTCCGAGTATTCAATTTGTGCTAAGTGTGAAATTGTTACGGGACTGATGAAAAACTTCGAATAAAACGGGGTCTTCGAGTTATATGAGTTCGAAATAACGAAGTTCGACTGTATTTAAATGTAGTTCGTACGAGGACAAATCGAGGTCGTTGTTCTGTCCATTCTGTTTTTTAATTAATAAGTACACTGACGTATCAGCTAGAGAAGGTTAGGAGAAGTAAACATGGTTCCTGGTTTGAGACTGTGTTTATCATTTAAAGACCGTTCTGAGAGTGATTCAGAAAAAAAAATCTTACTAAAAATAAAGAAAGAATCTGCGTTCGTTCTGTGTGGCTGCGAACCAGGTCACTGATCATAGGTGTAAGTTCTGATAAATTTGATCGAGATGATAAGTATTTTTAGACTACTTTTTGTATAGAGGAGCAGCTTATAACAATGTGTTGCTCCTTATGACCTCAATGTACAACAGTAACATCAGTTTGTCTGTTGTGCCTCTGTTTGATAGCTTGTATAAGGGTTCGATTTGACTATTGTGATCCGTGTTCAACTTTTTCCTATAGAGGATCAGTAGGGACTACTGTTAACACTTAATCTTTTTCTTGTAAACTGGAGACGAAAACGCTGTTTGACCCTATACCATATTGTATAGGGGACTGTGACATATGTGTTTTTCCCCTTTGTGAAAGATATTATGATACAGAAAGGCCGCTTAAGTACAGTGTGGTGTGGGTTTGTATTTTTTGTATATATATATATATATATTTTTTTTTTTTTTTTTTGCTTTGTTTTTGGTTTTTTTTTGTTGTTGTTTGTTTGTTTGTTTGTTTGTTTGTTTGTTTGTACTGAAGGTCGCTGACATTATTTTATGATCTAATTCATAGAGGACTGAGCCGCTAAGAATATTGGGTGGCATCCTATGACTTTACCCTACGGAGGGGCCGCTACTGTGTGATTATGAATTACCTGGATTACATATCGTACATTGGGCTTGCATAAGAAAGATTTCTGTGATAACTTAACTACTTTTTTCATGCACATGTATGGACAACGGAATTTTCAATTTGGTGCAACGTAAAATTAAAGTATATCGCATACCGAAATGAGGACACAACAACATTCATTTGACCTTTATTACAAACACTTACATTACAGCTAAATACACATTTCCGTAGCATATTTTATACATGATTTCTTGCATATATCTATACCTTGAAAAACGTGACTTTTGACCTTGATCACAAACTCCTGAAAACAGAAAAAAAGATAGGTTTCCTATGCATTGCTCGATGACTGATTCATATATGCATGCCAGTACTCTTCCGTATCTATGATGGTTAAAAAGGTTAGTTATCAAAACGTTGCCGAATTGACTGCAGTACATCTGTGAATCATTTCCTTAGATCTGTTTTACAATCTCGTCACATTATTTTCTACCGTACTGCATAGGATTATAAAGCAGGGAGAAAAGACGATTTCTAACCATTATAAGTCAATGCTAGTATGCTTCACCCTTGTCAAGGTGACAGTGTAGTCATCGAAACGTCACAGTTCAATCCTCTACTGGTTAAATTTCCATTCAATTCTATTCTACGGAATGTGGAAAGAAAACCTGTGTAAAAAAAACCTGTATTTCTATATAATGAGGGGTTTTGGATACAAATATATCTATTTATAAGGAGTCTTTGATCTCTGATGACTTTATATATACTCTATAGCTGTTTAGTTTTGTGCGGATGTCCTCGGTAGGGCTAGTTCACATGTGTTGAATTTCACGCATGTCAAAACTGGTAATCAATATAGAGATAACAGCGTTTTTTGTATGATTTTTATTTTCCCGGTATTTTATCTCGCGCTGTCTTCGATGATATCGAAAAATAAAACCCACTATATTACCAACTACACAGTGGCTGCATGAATACATTAGCAGTTTGTCTCTATTGAATCATATTGTTTGGAACTTCCTCATGGCCATGTGCATTTGGATGGTTTCAACAGGCCTTCAAGACATTCAAAAACGTATCGTATTGCGTCTGAACTACTGTCAAAATTTGTGAGATTTAAATCTCATCAACGAAAGCAATCAATGTCTCATTATTTCTGGTGAACTAAATACCTGGCTTGATGTTTTATGAAGTACAAAATGTTTTATACTTATTCAATGCGTGTGACTCCTATCTTTAAGTGCAAATCATTCAATATAAAGAAAACTGAACAGTTTTGATGTGGTTTGATATCAAGACACGCCTATGTTTCAGGCAAAGCTTGCGGCGCTGCAGAGCTTGACAGAGGAACAGATAGCTGGTAAGTTAAAGATAATGATCATCTCCAGCTGTTTGTAACATCATATTTACAGCTACATTAAAATCGTATGAAATAAAATTCCCATCGATCAGTCATAGGTCTATATCTTCCTACCTGCTGCTATCCACTCTCTGGGTAGGTAGTGCTGTGCTTTTAATACGTATCACAGCAAGACAGAGAAATCCAATTCGATTCTTATCAACATCAGTTATTGTCAATATATCATTAAAGGGGATCAACTTTAGAAGAAATCTTAGTAATAACGAGAATCAACTGTTTACGTTTTCAATAAAACTCTTAAATTTATCAATCAAATTTGAGTTGAAGAGGCGTAATTTAGCCCCAATTGTGTAATTTCATATCGATTTTCAAAATGTTTAGTATACACAGTGGGCCTCATTCTTTCTCTAATGCTGGTATGGGCATATTAGTCCAGGTACATATTTTGAATTAATTTAAAACAACAAAAAAATGACGTTATGTCAATATCTATAAATAATTTGAAGACATTTGATAGTTCCGATGGTAGGACGCATTGTATCGGTTTAATTCCGTGTACGATAGCCAAAAATAAAATGGATCTTAAATACAATTTCGTTTATACCTGCCTTGTTAAGGTAAAATATTTTGTGATTTATTCTAGAAATCTTATAAATGATCAGGCTGTATTTATTGCCGTATACGTTAATCTGATTGTAGTCTTCTTATTTTGGCAATGTATCTACTTGTAGGTTGTGTTAACGAACCTCAATGCACTTATAATGAAGTATGTGCACAGATACTAATGACGTCACAGGGCTTCAAAGCGGGGTCATTAAGTCTGTTTTGTTCGATATTTCAATGTCTCCATGACAATGTCGACACAAATGGGAAGCTGCCATCTTCAGCAGTTATGGTTTTTAATTAACGCAGTTATGATAATCTGCTAAAATGATTACATGTTTAATAACCAAATATAACATAAATACAGGATTGTGTTTTCCAATTGCATATATAATATTTTTAGTGATAACGATTGTAACGACCTTCAGGAGGAAAATGCCACCCTGAAGAATTAAGCATTGTTAAACAGGTGTAATGTGTCATTGTGGTGTTAGATTACCTGTACTGAATTATAGAGGTACAATTAAATCGTTATAGCATTACATTACTCGTCATGCATATGTCGACTGGATAATCGAATTCAATAGGTTAGAACACTCCATGTACTATACCCATATACCTAATAGTGCAAAATCACTCATGAGGTTGTCAGATAAGGTAACTGATCAATAGTTTTAACTGTCTTGTATTGTCTGCGTATTCCTGCCATCACAAATCTGACAAAAAAGGCAGAAACATTTTAGAAACTTAGCCTTCATTTAGGTTTATTAAACTTTTGTTAACCATCAAATGTCGAAATATTGGATTCATAAAAAATGGAAGTGTGATAAAAATGGACGTATATGCTTTGCGGTACAAAAATTACAGTTTTTATATTAATATTCTGTATGTATATAATCAAACAGATTTATCTTATAGAAAAATTCAATTGAAAGTATCGAAATATATCATGTTTACCATAATACCATAGCCCTGTACTCCACAGTTACGAGTACAGATATAAATGACGAGTAGAATAAACACTTCTGAAGCTATCTGAGTATAAACTAAACATTTTCAATTTGGAGTGTTACGACACGAGGATAAGTGCCGTCTGTAATATTCTATAATGAAAACAGTGATGAGTTTATTATAAGCTTATATTAGAATAATCATATTGATCAACAGCTTGCATTGTATATTAAGATTAGTAAAAAGACACATAAGTGATCATTAACTTTTGAAAGCACTCCATCATACAGCTGTTTCGTCCCCCTTACTTAACTCTGGTGACACATATAAAGGGTAATTTATTGGATCATTGATTTATAAATCACAAACCATCTGTCGTCCTATCAATAGCAACAGTTCTTAGTAATATCATATAACAAATTGACCTTGTTGCGTCAAGCTTGATGTGCAATTATCCAATGTATGGAATGTAAGTACAGCCAGGGTATCAGACTTAACATTAAAGAGGTTTCGCCTTGGGAAATTATTTAAGTATGATATGTTAATATGTATTTTGCATCATCATATATGTATTCTGATTGATTGTATGATTTTTATACAACAACATAGCATCAACAGTTCCATCCTTCACGATTCCGTGCATATTCCTGAGTTAGACGTAAGACAAATAATGATTTATTGATATCGAATATTTTGATAACTTCAATGAGTTTTGGACGCGATGACATTAATAAAGATGTCACTTTTATAAAGTGTAATGCGTTTAAAATGTTATTTTGTAGAGATACGTGAAGCGTTTAACGTATTCGACAAAAATGGTGATGGTATTGTGTCTCTAAAGGAGTTAGGAACAGTGATGAGGTCATTAGGTCAGAACCCAACTGACGCCGAAGTACAGGAAATGATCAATGAAGTGGACGCGGACGGTATGATTTGTTTTAAATTTTTTATTTAAATTCAATATTTATGTTTAACATCGTGCACTAAAGGCTAGATTCAACGGTCATTACTATACAATTACATGGAATTTTTGGGATAAAGATAATCTTACCCTTCTGGAACACCTGGACTTATTTTCTAGGAGCCTCCCTGTAAATATTTCTGGTGTTTATGTGCTCTAGTATCATTGATTTGATTAAGAATTGAGCTTCTGCTGTCGGTATTTTCGCTATAGTTTTTACAGAATAAACATCCATACATTTCTAGTTAAACGTTCATCGTAACACTGTAGGTAGTGGCACCATCGAGTTCCTCGAGTTCGTGAACATGATGAAAAGGAAAATTGACACTATTGATGATGCGGAGGAGGTCAGGCAGGCCTGGCGTGTATTTGACCGGGATGGTCAAGGTTTCATCCACGTAGATGAGATGAAGTACGTTCTGACCAGTCTGGAAGAGGCGGATGTTTCTATAGAGGAAGTAGACGAGTTGTTAGAGGTAGCTGACAAGGACGGAGACGGACTTCTGGAGTATGATGGTAAGATTATCAATATTAACATAGGTAAGGCATGGCAATTGAATAGAAATATGATTCACCTTCCCTTCCTGGAAAACCTCATCGTATTCCAGCGGAATGTTTATCAGTTTCTGAGTAAACTATATCTTTAATAATATTTTGCCTCCTTCTCATTCCTTTTAAGTTTGAATGAAGACTTCTGTGATATGTCGGTATTCATGCGTTGTTATTGAATGAAATATTTAACATCATAAAGAAAAATAGATTTAACCCCATAATGGAAAGAAACATGACATGATGTGGCTGTTTAGGCGACTACATACCACGAAAAGCCAAAGGGTGTCATTTATTTACAACAAATATTGTGTTGATTCAAGAACATGGCATCAGGAATCACTTTAAGTGGAACGAGATCATGCGAAATCACAAGAATTATTGGTGTATAACAAAACCGGAAACAAATCGCTTAATCCTATTTGTATTTCATATTTGAGATGAATTCATGTTAATATGTCGATTAAAGAAATATACAATTTAATTACAACTTTATCATCTGTTCCAGAATTCGTGATGATGATAACGAAAAAGGACTGGAGATAGCGTAATTTGCTGTAAAACCCTGAGTTTTGTACAACGACGTGCTCCTCTATATCATCCTATAACGGACAATGCACAGAGATATGTATCGATGTTCTACAGTTTTAACCTACTCCGAATTTCGCATGTATGATTTATCAAAATCTGGTATAAAAACAAAGTTTTTATATCATTTCATAGCAAAAACATTCTCCAACAATTGATTTTCTTTTCTTCAATTTTTTATTCAGATTTGTATGTATTTCTCTCTTTATATATAAATATTATCATACAATACAACGACGACCTTCAAAGCACATCAACAGTCATACTTCCATCATATGCGGAATTCAATTTCACAAACAAACAAACAAACAAACATATATATATATACAAGTTGAAGAAATAAGTTAAATTAATAAATATCTATACATATATAACAACTGTCACTCATTTGTGCCTATCATTGTGTTATTCAGGTTAAACACTTTACATAATGGTGTGATGCATATGCATGTACCCTATTTTTTAATAAACTAATACGTTTAATCCGGTAAATCATTAACGAAACGACTTCTTAAAGTGATAAAATTAGAACATCCTCAAAAGATAAAAAATCAGACATTAAATCGAAGGTTGTAAGAACTGTAGTTCATATATATAAGGTAACAAAAATTGCATGTATTATGTAGCATGCATCCTTAATTGAAATATGATATGAGATTCCCCTTTTTTAATCACAGATCAATCTACGTTTTTTTTTTGTTTTTTTTTTGAGTTTTTTATTTCGATTTTCGTTACGCTCATTCAATGGTAGATAATTATTCAAGTTAAATTGAAACTATCATTTACTTCGTGTGTATTCTTTTATTCATTTAACATATAAGGTATATTCCAGTGCACGTGTTAGATAAATATCAAAGGCATTCAAAGTGTTGTGTCGATATGTTTTCTACAAATCCCAACTTCAGATAAAGATATTTTCTGCGTGAGCTCCATCCGGATATTGATGATTTTTTTCACACAACATGGCTGGTAGAAATAAAATTTTCATAACTTCCCTCTTAACCAAAACATTAATGTTGTTCATTATATTACATTAGTGTATTGTACAAATATGAATGTTATCATAGATAACTTACTATGACATCCAACACTACCATGTAAGGGAGAAAACCCTGCACATCAACTGGGCATATAGATTCCCGCATTCTAAGTACATGCCTATTCATATTTATACAATACCACACCTGAAATCATCGAACCAATAAAATGCAATACATGAATTCTTATCATTTGTTTAAATTTCGTTCTTCATCTATTTTTAACCAAAGTTAATTAAGTGTCAAATATTTCAAGTGACCTGCGTATTACCTGTCATGATTTTGTGAAACAGATGCAGCTGACATTTGGCTTTATCTTTGAATTACTGTGATGAACTAGCAATTCTCAGTTTTCTTTAAATTTACAAAATGTGCATTGATTGTGTGTATTTTTATTTTTGTTATCCTTACATGGACCATATTAACAAATCACTTTCTCAATATCTACAATTCTATTTACAGACAGGTGTTCTTGTGCATTCACTATTTCTACAGGAAATGGACTTATTTTATAAAGACGCTGGTGATTTAATGAGAAAATAGATTATTTGCTAGCGTAGCACATTGCAAAATATAATAATAAGCGATTAGAAAAGTAATAAAAGATTATGATATTGAAGATTTATCAAATACATCAGACACTTGGAATACACGTTAACCATTGTATAATAAACTGCATTCAAGCTTGAGGATATTGGAATGAAAGATTTAGTAGATGCCAATATTTCTTCAGACAGGCAATATGGTTATCATCTTTCTTTTGTACGTTGTGTTCATTGTAATCTATATTTGATTTTATTACCTTCCACCAGCCTATTGAATTTGATCTGAATCTTGATATTGAAATTTGCACACATACGTGAGTGAAATGTTTAGAAGACTATCGATTTTTGAACGAATATCCATGTTTTCATGTTTCATTTTGTACCTAAATAACTCAATGATGCTTGGTAGTATATTCATGAAAAAAGCAGTATCAAGCTTTTACTTTTCGGTTTGTTTGATGATGCATTGATCAAATTAAATTGAAAAAATTTGCAATTTCTTAATTTCAATGTAAGCATGATATTTCGTCTAATAAGATTTATGAATAGTACAAAATGTATTGTCATCATTTCATGGTCATAATACGTGACGTCATTACGTCTGTTATATTGGCAACAGTGGCGTTGGAATATATTTATTACGTCACTTTCTTTACTTATCTATGCAATATTGATTTTCTTCATTGCAGCTTCTACGCACAATACATTGGATACTATATACACTTTCCTACATGTAACTTTAAATAAAAATAATTGTTATCTAAATTGAATTTGTGTTTTTCTACAGTAACATCATGTGAAATATCAATCTATTGGCGTTTAAACCGATTAGAATTTATGTAATGGATTTTGGCATGCCAACCCTACCACGTGTCGAAGAAATGAAATCATAATGATTCCTTCACTGAACACGTGTATAGAAAATTTAGAAAGTGCTTGGCGCAGGTCGAACATTCCATACAGATGTATGATCAAGTTACTTTGCAGCGTACATCGCTAAAAAGTGGAGCAACCGCATCTTATTCAATTACTCTCATATACATGGATCCACATCATCCTTATTGATAATGTCATGTGGCGCCATTTTGTCAAAAATAAATTCTGACATGCGTCACAAAAGACATTAAAGCTTGCACATACTTTTAGAAACGTAGATAAAATATGTAAAGAGTATTTAAGTAAGGTGCTTAGTTTTTAAACTACCTCGATAACTCTGGAATTAGTATCCATTTGGCATATGTTTGCGTAGAATGTCAGAGATAGTAGTAAAAGTTGAGGCGACGAAGGGTAATGATCCACTTTAAAGATGCACAAACATGATTTGAAGAGTAAGGGTTTCCATTCGCACACACATTTCACAATGACTGCAGTATCCTCCAGTCCTGGTACATACACACTTTATTCTCGTTTTTATAAGGTATCAACTCTTCGACATCATTGCCAGAAATTCTGAAATATCATAATATGCATCTAAGTTGAATTCAGGACACCATGATATCTGGACTACTTATAGAAAATTGTAAACACAATTGAATAGCATCTTTAATACAAATTCAGATAAGATATCCCAAACAATGAATTAAACTGCTTCATACAGCTGTTTCGTCCTTCTAAGACCGTAGAATAGTAGGATAGTGCTGGTATTTGACTTGTTTTTAAATGTGTGTAAATTGTGGTTACAGCACTCTTATATGTTAATATTAACATGCTGGTTTTTTCAGTAACCACATGACAAACTTAAATAATGAAAAATGAGTGTGCTTATGAAAATCGCTATGTTTAATATGTGTTATATCAGATATTTTGTTGATAATCTCTTAATGTACACTGTAAATTACATTTATGTTATATTACATATGTATTTCATTGAGGGTTGTGTGAAAGAAAGCACCGATTCAACCAAATGAAACAGATCGTATGAGATTTTTTTTTCATTTCGAATAACCAAACCCATAGAAGACATTATGAACAGTCTACCTCCTTCAACACGTGTAATTCATTATGACTAAAACTGTTTCAAATAAATGAATACTAATTCATTATGAGACGCACACATAATCCATACATCCAAAGGCCAGGATATGACAAAACTTGATGAAAAAATAAGAAAAGAAATAAGAAAAAAACAGGACTATAACATGATTGTTCATTTCTTACCATCATAGTTGATCAGACCATCTCCGTCGAGGTCAGCCTCACTAATCATTTCCTCTACTTCTTCGTCAGACAATTTCTCTCCAAGACAAGCCATAACGAGACGGAGCTCTTCTCCGCTTATGAAGCCATTACCGTCCTTATCGAACACTCGGAACGCCTCTTTTATCTCCTGCTCACTATCAGAGTCCTTCATTTTCTTCACCATCATTTGTAAGAACTCATCGAACTCTATCGTACCATTACCTGTTAAACAAGTGCAATAGGCGATATTAAGCGAACTGGAAGTCGACGATGAACTGAAAGGAAACGACTGTAGATAATATAACTTATTTATTCAGTTTTACCGCACCATTCAAAATGATAAATTATTGATATTGACATATCTGATAATCTCTCTCTCTCTCTCTCTCTCTCTCTCTCTCTCTCTCTCTCTCTCTCTCTCTCTCTCTCTCTCTCTCTCTCTCTCTCTCTCTCTCTCTCTCTCTCGGCCATGTTTCTTTACCGTCGTGTTAGAAATTTTCTTCATTAAATATTGATAATTGAGTTTACCATCAGTATCCACTTCCTTGATCATTTCCTGTAGTTCGGCGTCTGACGGGTTCTGGCCCAGTGCCTTCATAACCGTTCCAAGTTCCTTTGCGGAAACTGTTCCATCGCCATCTTTGTCAAAAAGGCTAAAAGCCTCTTGGAATTCTACAGGAGAGAGGATCAGACATCAGACGTTCGTTCTTAAGACAAATATGCAGTTAAAAAATATATGTAATGTCTGTTCCAAAGTTAACTATTAATTATACATGTTATATAAAACATTATGTTAATAGTAATGTACCTTACACTATTTATGCATAGTCTCTATATATGTTTGCGATCACAGTATAATCTTTGACTCTAAACCTTGCTTTAATATTCTATATTATGATGGTGTTCACGTGGTTTATAACTATTTGAATACCCCCTCAAGTCTCTATTTGTTGCATTTGTACAACTGTTTGCAACATCTTTTGTCGGTACTTGCATTTTGATATCCATTTCTGTTAGATGGATAAGATGCAATTCCGCAACAGTTTGGTAACACTTCAAAAACGAACTCTCAGCGTCACATGATAGCGGGATATTAAAAACAGCACATACTATAACCCTTATAAAAGAAACCTTTCTTTTATTGTTCTCTTTTCTAGCTGACATGTAACATATATGCATGTCACGCTCACCTGCTATCTGATCCGGTGTTAGGTCGATCTCATCTTCTACTTGTTCAGACGTCTGTGACTTTTATTATGAAAATAAAAAAAAACACGGAAAGTATTAAACATTCATGGCTCGCAACATCATGATATCATGTATTTTTATTTAACATTGAAATCTTTTCTTCAGGACCTTCATCGGACTAAAGTTTTGATATGCAAACCAAAATATATGAACGCATTGCGCATGCCAGGACGGACATTCTGAGCAGTTATAAGTATTGTCGTTGAGAAGTGAAGGGATTTTATTCCGTCCAAATGCAATGATAAATTCCTCCACGTGGGTAATACGGTACGTAATGTTGGAGACCGATTCACATCTCAATCAGGAAGACTGAAAAGGTTCAAGATCTGAATAATATTGATAACAAAATGTACCAGGCCAGCATATATGTTTATATATCAAACTACAAATATCACAAGATAGGTAATTCAATGGTTTAAGTCCACCATGTGTTAACATGGAATAAAACATGGTGTAGATATTGACCAGAAAGTATATGATACACTTCAAATGATAGTGTAAGCAACGTTATGCACACAGAGGTACAAATATAATCTATCTGCCTCTGTCTGCCAGACAATAGACTGTAAACAGGTCGATTGTTATATATATATACAATTTTTTACATTTACTTGATGTTAAGTATCCAGATATAGGGAACACATATACAGCTGATGATGAAAGATACTAATAATAAAATTGGCGACCAGGTACTTACCATTTTTAAGGAAGTCGCTGTATTTGCCTACATGGGGCCAGAATGGATTATAATACAGGTAGTCCTAAGCGGTGTTATTCTTCAGTATGTTGGCTCAGTACTACACTATAGTTGTTTTGATATCTAACGGAATCAGACTTTATGCATGGTTTGGTAGTGTTTTAATCCACGGAATAAGCAATATGTGAATTGTTTTATAAGGACTGATCATTGTTTTAATTATCCTATAGAGTTGTGACCGATTCTTTGTGCGGCCGTGTCTCGTTTCCAGTCAGCCGTAATTAAATCCACATCTATTGTTATTCTTTCACAGACATTGTAGATGGACAGGCGAGGGGTTTGTGTACGTCAATCAAACTGGCAGCGATTCTGATGCCAAAGTCTGCAACGACATAAGACAAGGGTTAGAATAACCAAAAAAGAATTATGTTAAAGGTTCTTCAATGTTGTAGAATAATGTGTATTTCAATAGCATATTATCGATGACGCAATTACTAGGTAATATGATAATATTGTAAGTATGTACCGAGTCTTTATTAAGCGTTGACAGTTAATCCCGATCGTGTAGTGTTAATTAAATCATTTGAACTGAAGCATTACATTTTTATCTGTTAATTGAAATAAAGAATATTGGACATTGTAGGTTACACTGTCTATCAGCCATAACTATTCAGGAAAATATGTCATAGTGACATCAGTTACGATTACGTCACACTGGACATTTACTCCATTCTCTGACGTCAATGATGATAACGAGTACGAACTATATGAACAATGACGTTATAAATTTGTAAAAAATCACAATTATGATCACAGTTAGTAGAGAGTAAACTTCTCAAACTTGACACCGAATGTAAAGTTTGTTGTTTGTATATGGTTTAGCTTTCTGTCTTCTCTCATGTCAAGTTTTAATGTCTTTGTCTATCTTCACATAGATCATACAAATTATTTATAACAAAGCTTGGAGTTTAGACAAAACACACGAATTAAGTTTTTTCTGTGCCCTTAACGATCCTCTCCCACCTAAAGGAAAATGAAAATATAAAATGATAAATAACCCTTGATATAACAGTGAAGAGTGTAAATAAACCCATAGTTTGTCATACTTGTACCAGATAACCCGTTTTGGTAGATATGGTATTTCCACGAAAATACATGTGTATTGATTAAAGCCATTCCTTATTTTGTTCGTTTAAACCCACCCCATGGGAATAAAATTGTTGTTTGTTCGACCTGTGTACTAATACAAAATGTTTCAAAATGGTTATCTGCTTTTTTATCACGAACATAAGATATCTCGTTGGTTTTCAGTAAAAACAAAATGTTTACACAAAACACTGCTTTTGATAGCAGGATAAGAATCGAGAGCCGGATACATATCTGATAGTGTAGAAAGTTCGGGAATAATTAAGAGGCTTCGGGGAAAACGCCTCAACCTCCTGTCGATAAACGATGATATTACCATATTAATTATGTATCCACAGAAAACAAAAATATGAGCTGGTGTAAATTCAAGAGCATCTGAAGATTTCTAACGAATGGTATTTCCTGAACATTGTTAGAAGGAGGTTACAATATAGTATGACGGAGAAAAGAATGTAAATGTATAGTAGTAGGGGCTTACGTTGGTAGAGGAAAGTCTGTTGTCGGATCTATTTTAAAACAACAAAATCTTCCAAATCAAGTGTATGTACTGATCATTCTGAGATTGGGGGATTCTACACTGCAGAATGCATGTCGTGTGATACTTGTGCTGATAGCTTCGGTAAGATTGGTTGCCCGAAATCTTCCAAGTGTTTTCCACCACCACTAACACTACCACCATCACCATCACCATCAGAACCACGAGAAAGAAGACGCTAAAATCTACAGATAAAGAGACCTGCATTTGATATCAACCGATCCCCCACCTACCCAGGCAACCTCAAGACATCAACATCTATTTTTGTAAACAGAACGCTACATGTGTCAGTTTGTGGTTTTTGGGCGGTGAACATTCGCTCAATGTGTTATAAGAGGTATGATTCGTTACCTATATATCAAACAGGATTTTAAAAAGCTCAAGAAAGACTATAGATATTGATTACTGACTTAACTGGTGTTATTGTTCTACGTTCTGTTCTGTCGGCGCTATCATCGACAACAACTGTTTAACCAATTAAAAGAGATCGGTTCCAGTTCAGAGCACTGTGTTTAATTATCGACCGTCTTCAATACACTAAGGAGACTTTGACCTCTCGAGAAAAGGACTATATTTTGTAAATGGGCCAAAAAAGATTTCATATTCTGATATAAAATATAAGACATTGCCAGAGAATAATTATCAGAATAATTACTTTGTGACTTCGTAAGACGGAGGGACAACTGTAATGTCAAATTCTCCCTAGCGCACGGTGAGTTTTTTTCCCTACTTTTCTGACAGTTGTAGTGTGGTATAAATATGTGTTAATGATAATAGCAGGCATCCCTGATGCTGAACAGCACCTGATTACAGGTGAACAGCTGTCAGTCATGTGTTCGGCAAATCAAACTAATATTAGTAGCAAACACAAACCTTTTAACAGTACGTGCTGCTTTCATTTTCTTGTTTTAGATTGTTGTAGATATTTAATTTTAAACTGAGACTTGATTTCTTTTATCTATATCTGTAATGTATATTCGACTCTCATGCTTATGTAGAAATATATTGTAAAGCCAAGGATACGAATCACGTGCTTGGATTATAACTTTTAAATTTGACCTCGAACTGCAACTTCTAACTCAGCGTGGTGGAAGCTATGGAGTAGTCATCAACACATAGGTAAAGATAAATACAGCTATTTGGTACGAATGTAAATTGAAGGATTGGCATATGTTCAAGTAATCATCATCCTTATGATATAGATTTAGTGCTTTGTTATGTAACGGTATGTGCATATTTCTGTGAAACGTATATATTTATGTCATTTTCTATCGTAAAGATTTTAAGATATGGATCAATATGAAAGCAATCTATCTGTTTATTTATTGTATTTACATGTGTTTGAAATGTATCCCTCTCCGTTTTTGTTAAATGGTATTCACTACAAGATACAAAGTGTGAAACATGGTAGTATATGTGCATGAGATTTACTTAAGAAAACACGATGCACAGAACATTTTAAGACGCCCTTGAAAAAATACACCAGTATGTATTCAAGCAGAAAATTTTGAAAAACTTACTTGGTTTACTTCAAAGTTAGTGTGACGTATTTGAAGATAAAGATGGTGAACCTGACTTGGTCTAAGTTGATATCTCTCGATTGGTTATATTACAGATGGAGCACCTCTCACAGGAACAAATAGATGGTAAGTTTAAGTCGTTGTGAATTACATCCTAAATTCGTCTCCCACTATACTCACTCTTGTATATGACGTAACAGAGCCAGACGCCATAGTTTCCTATGCAGTTTGTAAGCTATATAGGTGATACAGCTTGCAGCTCCAAAACACTATTTTTAAAAGAACATTTCAGCTATTTGTATGCTACCGTGAAGTACATATATATCCCTGCAATTATAAAGTGAAGTAGTGTGTGGGAAACGCATAGATATTACGATGGATGTTACGAGTCGACTATATTCCGGTAGACGAGGCCGGACAAGGCTTGGTGAGGGCACTTCATACAACTTAAACAAACAACATAAGAAAATGATTACACATGGCGACCCCTTTTCACTGTATCACTTAAAACCACTCCCTATCTATTTTTTTTTCTTGCTGCATAGTGTATTGCCATCTCCTGTTGTGTATTATATACACACTAGCGTCATTATCTTAATCTCCCATCAAATTACGTAACGCATCCTGACAGTCACTGAAAGCACACATTGTAGATTTTCACTATACCAAATGAGGTTTTAACAAGATTTGAAAGGTTGTGGCGAAATCAATGGTACATACTTTGATTTGTACTAGATTTTTATTTGCTAAATATGTTAATTTAATAATGAGGATTTAATTACCAGACCTAATTAGACATTCCAATCAGAATTCCATCTAATTATCAAATTATATGGAAATTTTAAATGATTTCTCGTGTTGATATCACATATATGTACTGCTTTGAATTTTGAAGGATATCAAATTGCAATTAGGTATTCATATTATTGATGAAAGAAATGTTTACAGGTATTCGGGACGTCCTTCCTCACTATCACTCTAAAAACTGATGTTGACCATACTTATAACTATTAATTTGTACAATATCATTCCCTAATAATATAATTATATCAAATCAGCATAATAGATTGGATCTGATTACATTTTTAGCTTTCTGTTTCTAAAGATATACAGGCAACAGATCTTATCTCTTTATATACAACCTGTTTATATTTATAGATATAGTGAGTTCATTTCTGTATCTATCCACAGTATACATGTACCACTGAAATTATGATAACTTAATTTCATTCCATTGGTACGCAGACAATACAATATATCGAGGAACATAAATAGATCATCTTCATTGTTTTCCTAATCCAGACTTTATGTACACTGTACGTAGTATTAAATTTGAAAGAGCAAGTGTTGTTCACATGCGTATGTTCTGTGAAATCTCTGGTAGTCAAATAATGTTCATGCAAAATTTATCACAGCACATAAAAGTTATAGTGCGTTATTTCATTTCTTCCTACCGACATAATTTAGACCTGAGAAATCTTGTTCATCGTCAAGTACCTTTGTCATACAATCTATTTATTTCGGTCATACCCATGTATACGGTAAACTTTAAACAATAGATAGTTAATGAGTGGTGACCAATGCACTACTGCTAACTATTGACATATATTAGCAACTTCTGTGGTAAGGTTAAAGTAATTAAATTAAAGTTTGATTCATTAGAACTTACTTAATTAAACCTAGAGATTTTTTTACAGACAATATCGCTTGGTTGTTCTAAACAAGAGTTCAAAAGTAACTTAGGTTGTACAATGTTTACTAACGGTATATAAAAGACACATATAACGTCCCCTAATCGATCCCAAGGCCAAATACATGATCTACCGGCAAGTAATCTCATGAAGTCATTTAAACGACATATATACAAGTAAATAATGAAAAATGTTTTTACTTTTGAACAGCGATTTAAATCTATGTAAATTAAATCTATCTATGTTTTGTTTGCTCTAATTTCGAATTCATCGATGTTGTTTTTTCATCCATATCCCATCTTCCCTATGAAGTCGACATATTTCATACTTTTTGAATAGTTTCAGAATGTATATGATATATATAGTAAGAAAATTTAGGCAGATTTATTGCAGCCTGTCATTTACAGTTTTCAGTTTTAAGTTTATAGATGTAAGTATTAGGTGTACGTATTTCAGTGTTTATTTTACAGAATGCAGTGTTAAGTTTACTGATTTCAGTGTTAGGTTTTCAGGTTTCAGTGTTAAGATTACAGATTTCATTGTTAAATTTACATATTTCAGTGTAAAGTTTACAGCTTTTTGTGTTAAATTATAGATTTCAGTGTGAAATGTGCATTTGTTTTCTGCTAAGACTGCAGATTTCAGTGTTAAATTTACAGATTTCGATATTATCATTACAGATTTCAGTGTTAATGTTACGGATTTCAATGTTCAAACCACAGATTACAGTGTTAATGTTATGGATTTCAATGTTCAAACCACAGATTACAGTGTTAAGTTTACAATCTCTTGTGTTCAGATTAGTTTTCATTGTTAGGGTTACAGATCGTTTGTGTTAAGTTTACATATTTCAGTGTTACTGTACATATTTCAGCGTCGAGTTTACAATATTTTTGTGTTCAGATTACATATTTCAGTGTTATGGTTACATATGTTTGGTACTATTGTTACTGTACATATTTCAGTGTTATGGTTACATACTTGTGGTACTATTGTTACTGTACATATTTCAGTGTTATGGTTACATACTTGTGGTACTATTGTTACTGTACATATTTCAGTGTTATGGTTACATACTTGTGGTACTATTGTTACTGTACATATTTCAGTGTTATGGTTACATACTTGTGGTACTATTGTTACTGTATGGTTACATACTTGTGGTAGTGTTACTGGTTACATACTTGTGGTACTATTGTTACTGTACATATTTAAGTGTTATGGTTACATACTTGTGGTACTATTGTTACTGTACATATTTCAGTGTTATGGTTACATACTTGTGGTACTATTGTTACTGTACATATTTAAGTGTTATGGTTACATACTTGTGGTACTATTGTTACTGTACATATTTAAGTGTTATGGTTACATACTTGTGGTACTATTGTTACTGTACATATTTAAGTGTTATGGTTACATACTTGTGGTACTATTGTTACTGTACATATTTCAGTGTTATGGTTACATACTTGTGGTACTATTGTTACTGTACATATTTCAGTGTTATGGTTACATACTTGTGGTACTATTGTTACTGTACATATTTCAGTGTTATGGTTACATACTTGTGGTACTATTGTTACTGTACATATTTCAGTGTTATGGTTACATACTTGTGGTACTATTGTTACTGTACATATTTCAGTGTTATGGTTACATACTTGTGGTACTATTGTTACTGTACATATTTCAGTGTTATGGTTACATACTTGTGGTACTATTGTTACTGTACATATTTCAGTGTTATGGTTACATACTTGTGGTACTATTGTTACTGTACATATTTCAGTGTCAAGTTTATAATTTTTTTGTGTTCAGATTACATATTTAAGTGTTATGGTTACATATGTTTGGTATTGATGTTACAGATTTCATTGTTCAGATTACTGTTTTCAGAGTTCAGATTACAGATTTCAATGTTAATACTATAAATTTCATTGTAAATTTTACAGCTTGCGGTGTTAGTTATTTTCTTCGTCTCGACTTTTTTCATCTTTATGTAATCTGCCACTAAGAAGTCCGGAAACTGACACCATCCGGACACCGGAAAACCGAAATATCTCTTAAACCTTTAGAAATTCACGCTACTCTGTCACATAAAAAATATGTGTGGCATTGTTTAAGTCTACACTAGGAAACATAAAAACAAAAATATCTGAACGATTCCTATGACCATCTTATCTTCAATCTTTTGAGTACGTGCTTATATTATGGATTTTTATATCTAAACTACGCTCCGCACTCCATGCAGTGAATAAACTCGGTGATAGCTGGTACAGGGTTAAGAATTAGTTCATCTTTTCACGCTCGTCTCAGTCTGGGGCTTAGGCTCGCCAGCACTCTATGATCCCATCATCTTCAGAGAATATTCAAAATAAGTATCCATCTCTCTTCAAACTAATCTGTAACAATATTGATTGAGCTAAAATGTCAACTTTTTTGTACTTCATTTGACGCATTGGAAATATTGACTTTGACACCAATATTGATATTTAACGTTCTTCATTTAGTGAAAATAACTGACAATTGTTGTAAATCTTGCGAAAAATTTTAGATGCTTTCTTTTAATATGATACACCGTTTTGATTTTTTTTCTGATAAGAAAGGGATGCCTTATATATATATTAATCACATTTCTTACATACTATTATTAAAAGTATATGACTTCATAGATTTACTCATCATACTGATGCTGTTTGTGTGGAGCATCAAGAACCCAGGTTACCGACGATGGAATTTAGTTAAAATCATTATCGCTTTTCTGCCTTTGTACTTACAGAGTTTAAAGAGGCTTTCAAGCTGTTTGACCGTGACGGGGATGGAACGGTGGACGTTGATGAACTGGGCACGGTCATGAAGTCTCTTGGCCAGGAACCAACAGAGCAGGAAGTCAGAGACATGATCAACGAAGTAGATAATGACCGTATGTTGTACTTTTTTAATAAATTAAAATCTTTCTTCATGTGGATAAGTCTTCTTTTCTTTTGAAAAAAAAAAATTTAAAAAAAATTGTAATTAATAATGACTGGTGTTTGAGTTTTATCAAATCTATTTCATTTCTATAATAGTTTTTTGCTAGAATAATTTGACTTCTGATTTGGCAGTAGTATACAATTTTACTGCGCTCAATGATATATATATATATATATATATATATGCAATGTTGTAAGTTTTGTCTGTCATAAAGAGAAGAACGGTATCTTGAACATCCGAATGAATAATATAACATAATCGAACAAAATGAGATATTGTAAGAAAAAAAAAAGAAGAAAGGTATTTTGGAGGGCGTCTTATTTAGAAATAAGATACATTTGCTATTTAATGTTTACTTCTTTATAATCAAAGTTTAAAATGTAACAGTTGATAGGATTACAAAATAACATCTTTTATTTCTAGCGTGAAAATCAGCTTCCAGATCTAAAAAAATTGTTGATAGATATAATCATACGTATGTTTTTTTAATTTTTATCATGAAAAAAAATTAATAATCATAATTTGCATCCATATCATATTTTTTCAAAACAATCTACACATCTATACTACTTTTGTACAAACAATATCTGTGTGTAATGGAAAATGAAAAATTAAATCTAACCAACCTGGTTTATGAAACAATAAGTATACCTATATATAATAAAATTACTTATGTAGAAGTTGTGAATAAAATAAATTTCTTCTTGACAGAAAGTGGCTCAATCGAGTTCCCGGAGTTCTTACAACTGATGGCAAAGAAAATGAACGATACGGACACTGAACAGGAAATAAAGGACGCATTCAAAGTGTTCGATACGAATGCCAGAGGTTATATCACGGCGACTGAATTAAAAGACATTATGACAACGTTGGGTGAAAAACTGACGGACGAAGAGACGGACGAAATGATAAAATACTCACACGCAGATATGGATGGTCACATAAATTACGTCGGTAAGTTTTACATGGTGTACTGTATTCGCTTAAAGAATTGTACATGATATTAGCGTTTTTCAAAACAAATTTAACAATAGACACAATATCTTCCCAACAATGGTTGAACAGATCGTACAGCTGTTTCGTCCTTCAAGGGCTTGTCGGTGATGCTAGGTAAGGACACTGTGTAAATATCTAAAAGGCAATTAAGAAAAGAATAAGCATTTGCATACTCTAGTTTAGGCAATTAAATCAATAAGGTTAATAAATCTATTTTGTATAATCTACAATTTATAGACAAAGAAAGTCGAGGAAGAAACAAAATATAGACATCATAACCGTTTCTTCCAAAATGTTATTTAGGAAATTCGTTAATATTTTGTAAGGTTATCACAAAGTACCTGTGTAGGATAGGCACACAAGTATGGATTCAACAATAGGTCAAATAAAAAAGTGAAAAGATGAAATTAATAATTGTACTTGCAAATTATCAATTAATAAAAATATACAGATCTGTTTTATTGCTACAATGGTACACTTTATAAAAGAAATCCTACTCAATTAATTGTTTAATTAATTGTAGTATCAATACAATTAATTGTTTAATAGCATCCTACTTACATTTAATGGCTAGTTAAACGGCTCTGTTATTTTCATAACGAGGTCGTTTACATAATTGAACAAAGTATATGAACTCTTTGTACCAATTAAAGATAGAGTGCTACACTTTTAACTTCCGTACTTCAATCGAAAATTGAGTTCTCAGTGTATCTGTTTTTTTATTTTTAACAGAATTCGTGAGGCTGATGACAGCGCCGTGATGGTGTGAATACACTGATATACACTGTGGTTTGGAAATGTGCCTAGGATATACAATATAGTGAAATATTTATAGATACATTAAGAAATCACGTGTACTCTAAATTTTGGACTAAATTTCCTTACAAAACCTTTTGCTAGTGTTTGCACTGAAAGCGTTTGACTTCTATGCACGTATTCGTGCCAGTGATGGCAAAGACTACTGCGGAAATGTTACATGATCAGGAAGGGTAAAGGATTACGGTGTGTTTAGGATGGAGCACGGCGGATAACAATGGCATTTGTTTTATACATCATGGATTAGAGCCGTATAACTTAACTTTAACGATATAGATATTCATTAAAGATACATATATACAAAAATCAAATTTTGATGTGTTGTACTTTAAATATACATATCTGCAGCTCTCAATACACACAATATATACACCGCTTATTTTGAAAGGCGGTGTGGATATGAGTATGCATGCTATCATCCCATAACCCTTCTCTGTATTCTAATCAAGGATCAAGAAATATTTTGTGTGTGGCATTTTCTCTCAGTAAATATAATTTGTCCCAAATTATGAATATCCTACATGTATATATATACAATGTTTGTTTAGATATACAATGTTTATTTAGATATACAAGTAAACTGGCGTCAGTCTACTTCGAACTAACCTAGATAAAGTTACCCAGCAATTCTAGAACATTAACTACAATATACGTTTAACATGCACATACCCTTGCGATAAATGTTGAATTGATATACACGGCCTTGTACTTTTAATTTGTTGTAATCTATTTTGTATTATTGACTTTCTTGTTTATTTTCTTTCATTTTCACGTGCACATAAACAATAAAGTAACATTTTAGAGTAGTTAAAGCTATAAGACCATCTCATATATACCTAGGCCTTTGAAATATGGAATTTATTTAGACGAAGGAAGACTGAAAATGTTGATCTCTCAGACATTACTGATTCAAACTAGAAATTACCCTGTAAACGAATATACCGAGATGATGATATAATATGGAGATATTCAGTACTTTCAAGTTTGTATTCCTTGCGAACAGAACACCGTTTAGAAAACCATTGATCACTCACTGGGGCAGCAAGTTGTACGCACTTTTAATCACGAGTTACCTCCCTTTAGTAGATTAAAAACTCGATTTAGTGTGTATTGTTGTTCTGCTGTTAAACTCTATGACGCATGTCTGCTCAAGGACGACTGGAAATAGTGATAAATATTTTCAGCTCTGCATGACATACTTTCAGAGATTCCCGATAATCAGTTGAATAAACACAAACACGCATACATAAAACGGTACAGAAATGTATTTTACGTTTTTTTTAATCATATCGGTCATGAAAAAACAATTTCAAATATATACTGATATAGATATGAAAACACATTAAAAGCTTTTCAAATCCAAACTGACGTACAGGATTATCCTTGGGGCTTTTCTACTAAAGTACCTTCTACTTTCTTATTGTTGATAAGTGTATCCGTGTATAATGTGTATTAATGGTCGTTCTCGGTGGCAGATTATCCTGTGAGACTTATCCTATTTCTAACCCGTAATTAAACTCTCAGGTTTATGAGAAAGCGAACACTTGTTGTTTAGGTGGTGGGTTGTGTGTGATATGGACTAACTTGTCGGCTACAAACACGTTCATTTTAATGACACCATGGTAAGTAATGTAATATTTTACGTTTATAATCTATCGCAGTCTGTCCTTCAGCAAACCAGAAAAATAATTTGTAACTACCAATAATAATTCAAATCGAACCTATTAGTAAAATATTGAAGTTTATATTATTTTTCCACTGATCATTCCAAGGGTTTTATGCGTAAAAGCCAAAATTTATTTGTAAATGAAATCACTTTTATCATTAAATGTACATGTATGTTAAAATTTTGAGTAAATTGCATTTGTTGGCGAGCAAGATATTTTTATGGTGTCGGGATAGTATCCTGGTCCAGAACGTTATCTAAATAAAGTAACAGTGACCGCATATACATAGACTTGTGCCCTGAACGTATACTTCATCTTCTCAAGTTAATTTAAATGCAAAACCGAACATCAGTAACATATTTCGCGAGTTAAATCTTTCAATGTGCATATTTTTTTTATCAATATCGGCCATTTTAGTGTACCTTGAGTTAATCAGTTAGTAAACATGTTTGTTTCATAAATGTGATTCTATTCTTTAAAAAATCAGAACATTGTGATTGGAAGATATTTGGGAGCTTATACCATGAAGCTAGATAGAATTTGATTTTAAAACATTCACATATTATTTCAAAGGCAATGCATATCTAATTATTTAGACTTGAGCTCTTTATGTATTGAAACCATAGTACATAACAAAATAATGATGTTTATAATCATATATATTTGTAAGGTGGTGTGTATAAATGTATTCGTGTGTCAGATAATATCAAGGAATATATACTGTGAAAAAAATACATCTAATGAAATCAATTTCAATTTTCTTGTTTGATTTCCAGGACTCAATATTAGTTGGTCTCGATGACAGTGGTAAGTACGTTGTAACATTAATACCACAAATATTACTATGGTTGTCTACATCAAATCATTCATTAAATGCGAAAGCTAAATACCCATCCATACCCGCTGCTTTTTCGATAAGGTCAATATGTTTAAAATGTACTGCAATTGGTAGTTCAGGTTTATTGCAAATCACTTGCGGCCTTTTTCACCAATACATATAACATTAATACATAACATTGTTCATAAATGATGTGGCCATTTAATTTTTTTTTAATTTTAAATGTCTATTGTTTAAATAAACTTAATTATCAGACCAAAGTTGATTGACATCTCTCTGTTCTGACTTCGGCTTACACAATGTTGATTTTTCATACTTGTGTTCATAAGGACATGTCATTTTGTCTTCACTGCACGCATGCCATTGACTAAACAACATGTTAAGTGATGGATAATTTTTTTTTTGCTTTTTTTTTAACCTTCTTGTCAATCTCTACGATAAATAATGACAAAATACCAACATGTCAACATAATCGTAATCCAAACTCAAATTCAGTAAAACTAGGGCAACATGTTAACAAAATGGAGACTACTGGGAAGGAACAGAGAGAAGAAGACCAGGCGTTCTGAAACAGTAATCGTCTTCTGCTTCGTCGTAAACAACCACCATGTAATTATTGATCAATCTAACTAAGCAATGTCAGGTTCTCATATGAGAACAAGGTATACAACAACAGAACCAACAGGCAAACTAACAAGCACCAAACAAGTATAGTTTCACATAACTCGCATGATGTAAATTTGTTTACACAACTTATCAAAACAGCGAGGAAATTTTAAAATGTTTTGTACAGATCGCTGGGTATTCATTTGGCTTGTCTGTATTTGTGACATTGACCGTATAAAAAACTTTCTTACATATTGTCCAAAGAGTTTTTTATCAAAAGTTGTTACATTAGCATCTAGGATTAAAAAACAAAACCGAAACAAACTGATATACTCGCTGGATATGTGAATTTACATATTAAACGTAAATGGACTGGAATATTATAGATTAAAAAGTTCATTCATTCGTTGCTCTGACCAGGACTTAATTTATAAAGATGAAAGATTCAAAATTTATCATAACAAATGATTACGTTTATAATATGGCTGGTGCTAATTCCCTTTGGCCTCAGTGAATTTTGTTTAGACCAAAATCCTAAATCAGCAATGAAAAGTAATTATTGAAGACTAATTATAGCGAATACCAATATAAAATACGTCATGAAACATGTATGACACCTACATTCACATTGTATGAGAAGATAAACTATTATACAGGTATAATGTATGACAGGGTAAGCAGAAAAAAACCCAATAATCGATAATTATCGTAATGGCCATTGATCGTCAGTTAATTATTGTTCAGATGTAGTGTACTGGCTGTGAAGGAAATGAACGTATTATTTAGAATTCAATGTATAATTTAAATAAGTAATGTTCGATATTGTTATATAACACGACAACCTCGCACTAATTCAATAGATTGATATTAAATATTAATCTGTGTATTGATTAATTTTGAATTTCAACAGCAAGGTTATGTCAAGCAAGGCATACCTTTGTCACATAGATTCACATTAAAACTTCATTACGATGGAGATTGAAATATTATTTCCTGACATGTATGCGTCTGTAGGTGGAACAATGATGAGTTTTTGTTTCAATAATCCATAGAAGTTGATCATTTTTATTTGAAGTGGATATTGCGAATGGAAATCCATTACGTCAGTACAGCATTATAAAAGGTAAAAGGGAGTACGTTGTCAACGCAAAGCAAGAACTACCACTACTACTAAATAAACGATGTTATAAAGCAGCAAGAATGTGTACGAAACTGTAGTTCAGTCAAAACAATGTAAACAATTACAGGAATTTTAAAAGGAAAGTATCGGTTTGGACATTGTTTTTCAATGTCATCTACATTATTTTACCACAATTTCTCGTATCAATATAGATATATCCGTCATTAAATCAAGTGATACAGACAGAAAGAAGGGCTTTTGATCTGTCTACACCAAACTATGGTGATGTGATCATGTGATACAGACAGAAAAAAGGCTTTTGATCTGTCTACACCACACAGTGGTGATGTGATCATGTGATACAGACAGAAAAAAGGCTTTTGATCTGTCTACACCAAACTATGGTGATGTGATCATGTGATACAGACAGAAAGAAAGGCTTTTGATCTGTCTACACCACACAGTGGTGATGTGATCATGTGATACAGACAGAAAAAAGGCTTTTGATCTGTCTACACCAAACTATGGTGATGTGATCATGTGATACAGACAGAAAAAAGGCTTTTGATCTGTCTACACCACACAGTGGTGATGTGATCATGTGATACAGACAGAAAAAAGGCTTTTGATCTGTCTAAACCAAACTATGGTGATGTGATCATGTGATACAGACAGAAAAAAAGGCTTTTGATCTGTCTACACCAAACTATGGTGATGTGATCATGTGATACAGACAGAAAAAAAGGCTTTTGATCTGTCTACACCAAACTATGGTGATGTGATCATGTGATACAGACAGAAAAAAGGCTTTTGATCTGTCTACACCAAACTATGGTGATGTGATCATGTGATACAGACAGAAAAAAAGGCTTTTGATCTGTCTACACCACACAGTGGTGATGTGATCATGTGATACAGACAGAAAAAAAAGGCTTTTGATCTGTCTACACCAAACTATGGTGATGTGATCATGTGATACAGACAGAAAAAAAGGCTTTTGATCTGTCTACACCAAACTATGGTGATGTGATCA